ACAGAAATTTGTTGAAAGATCTGAAAATAAAATTTCCAAAGTATTTTCAGAAGGTCTTGATGTTGCAAAAAAGCCTTCAGGCAAAATTTGAAGTGAAGGAAAAGGTAAAACCTATTTTCAAGCGAAAAAAAAAATGTGCCATTTGGTGTTGTTGAACAGATTAACAAAGAATTGGAACGGCTTGAAAATTTAGGAGTTATTTCACGCATTGAATTTTCAGAGTGGGCCCTGCCCTGTTGTATATGTTAAGAAAAAAAATAATAAAATTCGGATGTGTGCCGATTTTTCTATGGGTTTAAATGATTGCTTAAAAGACCACACATATCCTTTGCCTTCACCAGAAGACATTTTTGCAAGTTTAAGTGGAGGAGAAATATTCTCTAAATTGGATTTATCGGATGCTTATCTCCAAGTGAAAGTGGACAAAGAATGTTCTAAATTGTTGACTATCAATACACACAAGGATTTATACAAATTTAACCGTTTGCCGTTTGGTTTGAAAGTATCCCTTAGTATTTTTCAGCAAATTATGGACACTGTGCTGGCAGGGTTGGACTTCGCCATTGCATATCTTGATGATGTTTTGATAAAAAGTAAAGATCGAAATGAACATTTGGAACATATTAAAAAGGTTTTTTGAAAAAATTGAAGAATATGGATTCAAACTTGCAGCTGAAAAATGTGAATTTTTTATGAGTGAAATTAAGTTTTTTGGGGCAGATAATAGACTCTGATGGAAGAAGACCAGATCCGGCGAGGGCAGAAACGATCAAAAAACATGCCATCTCCCAAAAATGTAGTAACGCTTCAAGTGTTCTTAGGACTTGCTAACTATTATGGGATATATATTCCTAATTTGTGCAGCCTTACGGCTCCATTAAATAAATTGCTTAAAAAGGAGCAAAGTGGGAATGGTCAGAAGGTGTTTGACAAAATAAAGAATATTTTGACGTCAAATTATCACCAACACATTATGACCCTAAACAGGAAATTATAGTGGCATCGACATTGTTTAAATACGGAATAGGTGCGTAATTTTGCATAAATTCAGAGACAGCAATATCTCCAAGCCAGTGGCACATGCATCAAGGACATTATTACCCGCAGAAAATATAAGTACTCTCAAATTGAGAAAGAAAGCAGCTATCATCTATACTTGTAAAAAATTCCATCAGTACATACATGGAAGAAGGTTTATATTGCAGACCGACCATCGCCCGCTGCTTTCAATCTACGGTTCAAAAAGGGTATACCTACTCATAATTTATTTAAACCGTTTGCAACGATGGGGAACCATTTTGTTGAATCACAATTTCAAAATGGAATTTTTATCATCGAAAAATTTAAGCCATGCTGATGGTTTATCTAGGCTGATCCCAACGTCTTGAACCGCTAGAAGATACGGTGATAGCGTCATTACAAGCAGAAAATGAATTGGTGGAAGTAATGCATAACACAGTAAAAGAATTACCGGTGACATTAGATGAAATAAAATTAAAATCAGAAAATGACATTTTTATTAAAAAAATGAAAGAAGTTGTAACTTCAGAAAAGTATAAAGCTTCTTCACCAGCATATTCAATATGTGATGAAGTGCTGTTATATACTGGAAGGGTCGTGATACCGGTTGTACTACAAATGCGGATTTTGAAGGAATTTCATCAGGGGCATCCTGGTATTGGACGTATGAAAGCCCTGATGAGGAGTTTATTGGCCAAATATGGACAAAGACATTGAACAGGTAGTTAAAACTTGTAGAGGGTGTCAAATGGCAGCGAAAGCACCGCCAGTAAAATACACACCATGGCCAAAAACAGATGTTCCATGGACCAGACTCCACATAGATTATGCTGAACCCAAGAATGGTAATTTTTACTTGATAGTTGTGGATAGCTATTCCAAGTGGCCTGAGGTTTTTAAGTGCAAAAGACCAACTGCTTCTGTAACAAAAGATTTTCTTACGGAACTGTTTGCACGGTTTGGAGTACCAGAAAAAATTGTCACCGACAATGGAACTCAATTCACAGGAAGTGAATTTAAGACGTTTTGTAAGACTCTGGGAATTGACCATCTCACGACTTCACCGTACCATCCTAGGTCAAATGGACAGGCTGAATGGTTTGTTGATACGTTCAAAAGAGCCCTTAAAAAAACCAATGGTACTAATACAGATGATGGTAATATACAGTTTTTGAGTATATACAGAATAACACCAAATCCAAACGCAATATCAGGGATGTCTCCAACTGAACTGATGTTTGCTAGAAAAATTAAATCAGTGTTCAATAGGCTGCTGCCGGAAAGAAAAAAGACTTACCAGAACAAAACGCATCAGGAAAATATGAAATATTTCAGGCTGGGAGATAGTTTTTTTTAAAAATTACAAAAATGGGAAGGAATTTTGGCAAGATGGAGTGGTAACACAAAGAATTGGTAAAATGTTGTACATGATCAGAAGTAAAAAATGGACGCACAAAAGACATTTGAACCAATTAAGGAGAAGAAACATTGAAGAAATAAGTAAAGAAAAGGAAGAACCAATGGAGGTATTATATGATTTATTTGATATACCAACTCCACCATTGCCTGAAACAGTTGTCCAAAGAAGGACAAGCAAAAGAAAAAGAACGAGGGTGGAACGTTTAAGTCCAGATCCCAAAAGGAAAATATATTAATTCCTCCGGAATTAATCTCAAGGGGGAGGTGTTGTGTAGGAAACCTACCACCCCTCTTGAAGACAAACTTATCTACAAACAAAGACGTTAAATAGTGGCATGTCAAAAGACAGTCGGAGAAGTTCTTGGTTGAGCTAGTTATAGACTACTCGGGCGATTTCTGTACCTACTTACAAACCGAATAAACCCCTTTTTATTGTTACGTGTTATTTGGCGTTTGTCTTTATTAACCCCAAATCAACATCATAACACCCCTAAATAAATTTTTTTTTATCTAGCAAATACACCTAAAATTAAATATAAAAAATAAAAGTTCTAATTTCATTTTTAGAACGTGTAGATTTCCAAATCACCTGTTCTTTTTTAGATACACATTTTAAAACTGAAATTAAAGACTATTTTAATCATTTTAAATATACAATCTTTAGTGTATTTGCTAGATAAAACCATAAAGATATTTGTAAAAATAAAATGAATTAATTTTCCTTGTTTAGAAGAATTTTATAGGCAGAACAGTAACAAACACCATTGGAACACTAGTAGGTAAAAAGGAATAATTTTTACTTTGGGTTTTAAAAAAATGAATTGCAGTTTTGAAAATGTACAGATTATAAAACTGAGATTAAAACTTACTTTATTTTTTTAATATCTAATTTTATGTGTATTCGCGAGATAGAAACATAATTTTATTTGTAGAAAACAGACTCACATATGTGGAAATATACACATCTTAAAAGTGAAATTAAGAACTATTTTAATTATTCTTAATATCTAATTTAGGTGCATACCCTAGATAAAAATCATTTATTTATAAAAAAATTAAAAAAATCTTCATTCGTTTTTCTTGTTTGCAACAACTTCATTTTGTGATTGGCAAAACTGACTTAAAATCCAACTAAAATTTAATATTAAGAAAAACCTGACAACTTTTTTTTATTTTATTTTTTTTTATTTATTTTTTTTTTTTTTTTACTCGCTATTTTAACTTAATTTTACTGCAAAAAGTTTTTTTTCCTCAAAACTGAAACAAATTGTCTGAAAGGAAAATCTATTTCCTTTCAGACATCATGTCGTATTTCCTTTTTTTCTTCTTCATTTCTTTTGTAAACAAATAAATTTCACATTTATTTCCTAAAACTAGTCAATTAAATGTTTTTAACATTTTTGTTTAATCTTTTTTTCTTACAATGGTATAAATGTTGACAAAATTTAATTTTAACATCTGAAAGTTTTTTCACTAGTGTTCCTTTGGATAGGGTCACTCAGTAGTGATATAAAAATGAAACAAAATTGTTCGATTTCATAAAAATTTTGATGTGGTTTCACGGTATGAAGATGAAACCAAAAAAGTTGTTTTTTTGGTTAAACCGCACATCTCTACTATTTACTCCTGTCTTAGCAAGTTCGACAGATCTGCAACCTAGCAAATCTGGCAATTGGTCTTGAAAAGAAAATTACCTCCCCCCAATCAGTGTTTAATTGGGATAAGAAATTACTTGTAAATTTTAGCACCTCCAAAACAAAACTGATTTCAATTAATCGGCACATGATGATAGCAGGTAGAAAACCTTTTCTGCCTGCCATCAACATAGCTGATGCTAAACTGCAGGCAATCAACTCTCTAAACTGTCTTGGGCTCATATTTTCTACTGACATGAAGTCGAGTGACTATATTAAATCAATTACTACGTCTACTGCTAGGAAAGTTGGTTCGCTGTGTTGTAGCAGAAATTTTTTTCATCAGATTCCATCTTGCACATTTATAAATCTACCATTCATTTGTGCATTGAATATTGCTGTCATATCTGGTTTGGTGCTCTGTTGTATATCTTGATTTTTGACAACATGCAAAGAAATGTTTGTAATGTAATCAATCCTGTCCTGGCATCTTGACTTCACTCACTTTCTCACTGACATGATGTGGCTTCCCTCTTTCTTTCCTACTAATTTTTTCATGGCAACTGTTCTGATGATGTTTTTTTCTCTAGTGCCTCGACTACATGAATCTGTTCCTTTATTGTCCTTTCCTCACTTCTCACTAAACTCTTCTCATTTTCTTTCTCTTCCTGTAACCCCCTGCACCGTAGTGGTATTATTGCCTTGCTTGGGATGAAATGATTTAAAAAAAAAAAAATTAAACAAGAAAAATTAGTTTTGTTTGGAAACTTTCATGGTCTTGAAGTTATTTTTTCTTAATTTAAAAAAGAAATTGGGAGTTTATGATTAATCTATAGTTCAATCCTCTTGTGAAGGTAGCTTTCTAGGTTTTGTTGTTGCTTTTTATTTAGTTTCTACATTAAATTTTGGCCTTACTGTTACTTTTAGGCGTTCAACAGTTCAACACATGCAGCCATATCTCCCACCAGAAATGATCTACAGTATGCCATACTCATTGATTCCATACCAGATGAATACAAATGTACCTGTTCGATCAAGTCTATGTAAGTGCATACTTTGTATTTTCTTCTTCCAACATACTTAATTTTCCAAATCTTTAGTAAACAGCACAGGCATTCAATCTAATTGATCATCAAATATACATAACGCTGCATTATTCTCACTTGTCTCTAATGAACCTCTGTGAATGTGTGTGTAAATAATGAACGAACACTAAACAACGCATTAAACTTAGTGAAACAATGCATCAATATCCCCAATGAGAACATATAATTAAAAACTGCTAAAAATCAATATTATACCCCAATAAAAAAAAATATGGACAAAAAAAGCCAAAATAATAACAATAACAACTTTAATGTAACAATGGATAGCTATGATGGCACAACAGAAAAAGAAATACAATTTTGTTCACCCACTCCCCCCTTACAAAATACAATAAAAACAAAAATAGGAAAAATATTCTTCAAAATAATTGACAAACATTTCCCTAAAAACAGAAAATTATCAAAATTTGTTACAACTGCATGGATAACATGGAGAGAATAATAACTAAGCACAATAAAAAAAAAAAAAATACTCAACAGTAACAATTACCTACATTTAATAGTGTTATTTTGCTGTAGCTGCAGAAAGAAAATTGCCCACTTAACAAATGTTTAACCAATAATATAATATACAAAGTCATAAATAATAACATTAACACAGAAGAAAAATTCACATAGGGGCCACAGAAAAAAACAAAGATATTATAACCACAAAATGGTATTTGATAGAAAAAATACACAAATACAAGCCTATCAAAATAAATATGAAGTCAAAAAGAAAACAATATCCCCGCCAAAATCAAATGGGAAATTATAAAAAGAGCAGCCCCATAAAGTATTAACAGTAAAAATTGTAAATTATGCTTAGAGGAAAACTTAACAATAATTAGTTTGAAAACCAAAATAAACAATGAAAACTGGAATAATGGGCAAATGTAGGCATATAAATAAATATTTACTTTACTAGACACTAAAAGATAAACAAATAAAATAAATATAAGCTTAATACAAACTTTTAATCAATAAAAGAAACAAATATAATATAGACTTAATCTATTAATAAGCAAATAAATGAACAAATATTAAAATACACACGTACGTGTGTGTGTGTGTGTATACACATGTGCATGCACACACACACAGACAATGAACAAACCTACCCCACCATAATTAATACCTCAACATATAACACCAAGGCTAAAAACAAATAAACTACTATTAAATAAAAATGAAACATTAAATAAAGGATAAACAATAACGTAAGATATAAACACACTTATTTTAATTACATATTCATGTGTGGGTGCAGTGTGTGTTCTATATATATGTATATCGGGTGTAACAGCAAAATTGTCCATTTGTTAGATTAAGCTTTGAACTGTTGTATCTTAGTAGAATTCTCTGAGGTTTTTATAACACTATTGGACTCTAATTTGAGCAATAAGAATTTATAATCACTTTCCAAGCTTAACAGAAGAATCATGATGAAATTGATCATAAACAAAAATGATGTGTTCATCATTAATTAATCATAGCTAAGGATTGGAAGCTCATGAAGGATTGAAATGAAGTTTATATATATATATATATATATATATTCCAGGATCATTTTCCATCTTATTCAAAATGATCTTCACCCTCTTTAACCTGACTTTCTGTCCTGGTGTAACAAATTGCTTCACATGTTTCGCATATGATTTCAATTTCAAGTTTTTTTCACTGCTCTTTGGACTGTCTTAGGTGAAACTCCTCTCTCATGTGCCAAACGTCTTATGGGTTGAGATGGATCTTTTCTAATTGATCTCTTTAGCTCTAACTTGAAATGATGATCCCTCTTTCTGTTGTGACCTCCTGTACATGCGTTTGTATGTACATATGTGTGCATACCTGTATGCGTGTGTGAATAGATGTGTACATTTGTGTATGAACAAGCGTATAATTACAGGCATATGCACATAAATAAACTTAATTATAAATCTAACTTCCTACAATTAATAATTATGATATCACCAAACCCAACTAAAAAAATGAAATAATAATCCAGTGATATAAATATGTGTGAGCATGTGTATGTATAAGTATTTACCATTTCAGCATTAACATCATCGGTATCATATATATATATATATATATATATATATATATATATATATATATATATATATATATATATATATATATTTATTATTTATTGCCTAAGCAAGACTTTTTATATAAAAACGTAAATAAACGAAATACAACTTCCTTAGCAATAAATAAAAATAAATAGATAACTAAAAATAGGTCATATGTCTAGAAGCGAATCAAAACCAGACTAAGTCTAATAAGGATAAAAAAAAAACAAAGGGTGGGGGGCAATATGATCACGATGCACATCTGTGCAGATGGACATGTGTGGACCAGTGCATGCACAAACTCTGAAAATACAGAAGAAAATTTACACCAGTGTTAAATGTGTATAAAAAGATAAAATTGAAAAAATATAATCAGCAAATTGCTGATACCCACTGAAGAGTGGATGAACAGGTCTGTCTACAAAACTCTGGGGTTAGGATGCTAAAGGTAACATCAATCAGCAAAGTGGCAAATTTATATATATATATTATTCAGTTTTTCTTTTTATTCAAATATTTTTTCAGTAAAAATGTAAAATAATGTTCTTTTTTAACTAATAGTTTTTTTTCTTATAACCATTGTTCATTGTTATTGTGATATAACTCAGTATTTTTTATCTTTTAAATTCTAACAATTTAAAAAAACACTTAATATTTTCTAAAATATTAAATAATTATAAGCAAAAATTGCTTTAGAATATGAATAGCAAAATATAATAATTATTTTATTTTGATTTGCTTTTACTAGTTATTTCATAAGGGTACATGAATTTCATAACTGTTATTTGAGGTGTAGTTTTTGGATAAATTTGGTAGTGTTAATGTAAATTTTAAGTATTTAATATTACTTTATTATAAAAAAACTTTAAAATGTAGTTTTGAAGTCCTTTTGAAATAACTTCAGAACAATGATTTTTAAAAAAAAATAAACATATCTTATATTTAAAATTGTTTATGTCTACTAAAAAAAGTGCACTAAAGTTGTAGAGAGGAAAGTCATGTGATATGTTATGTGCATTTTCTTTTTGCATGGATCTGTAACATTAACCACTTCTTTTTCTTTTTGTTGAGGTTTTAAAAAACAAATTAGATTTCTGATATCTGTTATTAGGTTTTATGTAGAAACATTGGAGTGTGTTTTAATTTTGATATCCTTCTCTCATCCCATTGTTGTGAATAAGTATTGTCCTAGTTACTTACTGCTCCCGCTTCTCTCTGTTGTCCAGTACCCAGCAGCACAGCCAACTATGCGGCCACCCATTGCATGAATCTAGGCCCAGCTTCTGCTCCCACAATTTGCCTCAATACCATGAACCCTATGATGGTCTCGATGAACACACTATGCAACTCAATTTCTGCCAATTCTCAGTGCCAACAGACAGCTGCCACCACTACCATTCCAGTTTTAACAGCCACTCCAGAAAGTGAGTCTGCCCACCCAAACCTTTCTCTTCCAATCAAGCAGCAAAAACCAGAGACTCAAAGACACTTTCTGAGATGCTAATTTTCCAGTTTTGTTGGTTCTCTTCCAATTGTAAATCTGGATATAATGTTAAAAATACTTCCTTCTCTACCCTCACTTCACCTAATATCTAGTTGCAGCCTTTATCAACATGTTTGTCCAATTAATTCCCACATGGATCTGTTTGTCTTCCCCTGTCTCCAAAACAAATTACTATGATGGTTTATTTGGCTATGTATTAAAAATAATAGATCAGAATATTTTTCTACTGTATTCAAATGAGATGCTTCTTTCTCAGTATCCTAGTTGATGTAATTTTTAAATGTATTCCACAAAAATTACCTGAATTTAAAAAAAAAAAGATTTAGAGCTATGTAATTTGTTATATAACAAAAATTCTTAGAAGTATCTTAATAGGCAAGGAAATATTTTTAAGTAGGTCATTTTTTATATATATATATATATATATATATATATATATATATATATATTGAAAGCCATGAAAGATGTAAATAGATTGGCTTATAATTAAGGGAAGGAACTCTTTTTAGTAGCTGCTTGCTCCTGGGAGAGGCTTTTTGCTGGAGGATTCATTTGTTAATGACTGATAGAAAAGGTGCTTTGAGACTATCCAGTCCAGAAGGTTTTATGGCCTACTGACTTGAATGAATGTCCTATTTTAGAACTTAATGTCTGGAACAAATGCTTTCTTGCTACTACAGGATGGTTTTGGACCTCTGAATTGCAACATGTCATGTTTATACATATACAAAACATTACTAGTCAGGCAACAGTTTGAGTATTTTGGAGTTTTATGAGAATACAAGTAATAATGTTTGTTAACCTTAATAATAGTGGCTCAATAAATTACTGCTGCATGAAATGTTTCTGTGTTAGAATCTTTGCTTGCTTGCAGCTTGCCATTTTATTTTGATGCTGATCTTTCTACTTAAATTTTGAATTTAGATGTGAACTGATTTTGAAGTTTCAGTAGATATTACAATGCCAAAATCTTTGTTTTTTTATCTTCTATCTGCAGGTATGATGTGTTCATTATAAAATCTCATATTTATTCTCATACTTATTTTTAGCCGATTTGACTATTCATATGCTACTTTTTGTCAACATCAAACATATTTCCAATAAATATTTGAAATTTTATGTTGTCTTTAATTTTTAGTTTAAAATCTAGACTAAATTCAAAATTGATAGCAATTTTGTCGTTTTAATGATTAAGTTTTTTGATGATTAGTCAATAAATGTTAAAGTTAGTCTTTAAGCATGAAATAAAATAATATTCCCTGCTAATGAAGATGGACATTAAATTTGGTGCATATGTAATTAGCTATTTAAGTGGTTTGAAGTGACATTTCCATTCAATTTTTTTATAACATTTTGAAAATATTTTTTATGGATCTTTC